AAAAAAAAAAAAAAAAAAAAAATAAACACATCATGGTAAAATTAATACCTTCTCAGCTTCGCATCGAAGCTAAAAATATTGTATATATGTTGCGAGTAATATCAAGTGGTTTATGATAAATTGATCACTCTGTATAACAATTTTTTGTTTATAAAACTATATTTCTAATGATAACTTATTAATATATAGTGAGATTTATTAATGTTATTCCTTATTTTTCATTAAAAATTGATTGTTAATAAAAATGTAAGATTAAAATATTATTTATTTTTATAAACTAGAGTAAATATCCGCTTTATTGCATGAAAAATTATTCCTAAGAGTATATTCAAGGGGTAACTTTTGAAAGTTAAACGAGAACCTATTATTATATTTTTACTATTAAATAGATAATGGTCTAAATGAAAATTTGAATGGTCGATAACTAGTTTTGTATTACTACATTTTGAGTTAATATAATTTTTAGGGACGTAATTACAAAATGCAAGGATTGCAAAAGTATACTTTTGCGATCCTTAGAAATATTCGATGACTTAAATTGTAATGTGTGAATAATAGTAATTTTTTTTATTTTAATACAATGTGTGGTAATATATTAATTAAATGTCCACATATATTTATGTTACAATGTAAAATTTTTCTCATAAACTATTTTTGTAAGCAATTAGTTCATTTTTCATAATTATTTGTGCATCGTTAATACTCTTAACCGTATATTCACCTAAAAATATCGAGCGACTTTTAAAAACCTTACTCATGTTTTCTTGTCGGCATCAAAAAATAAAGCTAACATTGATCAGAGAGATACAGAGTTGTAGCCAGGAATTTTACTTATCACGTGTTCTAATTAGTTCCAGATTGGTATACTGAAAATAATAATTATCATCAATAGGGTAAAGTTATAGTTTCTTTAGCTCTTAATAAAATAATATTGAATATGAGGTTCATAAATTAATTTTCCTCTTAAAAACCTAAATTCATAACATCTCTCTTATAAAAAATTTCTAGGAACGTTATATATTTAAACTGGTGGGTCCAGGGGTTAACTAACCTATCAGAATACCAGGAATTTTTTACAGTGTTGTGTATTAGACTCCAAGTCATACTAACTATTAGAGGGGGCTAGTCCCAAACCAACCCTCTGATGCACCATTTATAAGGTAAACGAGGCCAGTAAACATCTACTACCCAGTACATTTTGGTGCTAGTCCAAACCTGGATAAAGTAGACAGTAAGCTAATTATAACTTTGTAATTTATTAATTTGCACAAATCGTTTTTAATAACAATATAGGAAAGCAAAATTTAACAAACTTGAGGCACATAAATTATCATTTACTATTTAGCTTAAACTTTTAAAATTAATTCTATTATGAGCTTAAAACTTGTAAAATTACGCTATATTTTAGTATATATATTCGTTGAAGTAGAGGAAATTCAAAACTATTATGTACTTGAACTCTAAGGTATATCCTGCTAAATATTTCAATAAAACTTTTGTTTTAATATTAGTATATTTTAAGCGACATACTTTAAATTAAGATCTTATTTAGTAACAGTTTTGTAACTGATATATCAATTATTAATAGTTATTAATGTTATCAATACTGTACTGATTATAATTATTTGAAAAGAGTAATTCCATGTAGTATACATACGTGTATTGTGTGCTTAAATTTAAACCAACTATGAAATGTTATTTATCATAATGTAATAATAAAACCGATAAGACTACTAACTGTGTTATATATTACTAAATTAATAAATTATAAATACTACACTTAAAAATACAACGGCTGCAAAATGTAATAGTTTTTATATTGTAACCTAAATTGAAATAAAGTAATAGTTCTTTTATTGACAATTTATAAAATAATAGAAAATAGTTTTAAAAATAATCAATAATTCGTCAAATTTTTATTATAAAGAATGTAATATTTATTATCTTCATTTATCTAACAGATAAAATCTGTTGATAAAAAGGTTATTAAAATCTTTATCAATTTTAATTTGCTTGAAATTGTTAAAAATTAAATAAACAAGTAAAATTATTTTATTAATATTTTCAACATAAAATCTCGTTTAAACAAGAACCTTCAAATTTTTTTTAAGTAACGCCAACAAAAATAACAGTTACAGAAGTGCTGGCATGCTTAGGTTTAAACGTATTATAATAGTTTAAAATTAGAAATAAAACTTTTTTTAGAACTTATGAATACTATCCTTTACTTTGCAAATATTCGACCGTTATTAATAAATTTTGGCCGTGACGCCGAATTACATGTTGAATGAAAACTATAAGTACAAAATAAAAACAAATATTGTGTAAAATAATCAGACATGAGGATTAAATGTATAATATTTATATACAGGGTGTTCAGTAAGTCAGGAAACTGTTGTTCTCATTGTTACAAACAATGAGAACAATAGAAACCCGTTTCCTGACTTACTGAACACTCTGTATATATACACACATATTTCAAGACAGTTGTCTCTAAATTGTTTAAAGCTTATCTTAACTTTACAGATACAATATATAATGTTTCCGACTAACATTATAATGTTACCATCTTTTTCAAGTATACTTTTATGATAGTATCAGGTATAATATATGTATCAAAACCTGAAGAAGTAACCTCTTAATAAAATTTAATAGATTTCTTTTTAAATTTCCTATTGGAAATATTTTTAAAAATAAACATGAAATAATATATTAAATATATATTGAAGTTATGGAAATTATAATTTTCGATAAAAAACGATAATTTAACAAATAATTTAAAATTTAATTATTCATACTATATTTTAGTACATCATTATATGACGAGAGACAAATATTCAAGCGTTTTACCTTTTAACTGTGCATACTGTCTTAATAATATTATTAATTTATCCGAATAACATGGTCAAACATTATGCAATAGCTTTAGGAGTATTGGGGCGGTTAGATAATAATGTAAGTCAATAGAAATATTTTAAGCCAAACAAAACTAAACCGAAAATTAGATTAACGTAAACAGCATTACGAACGGGTAGACAAAATATATACTTGGTTTTAAGAATCATAAAATAAATCATCCTCATAGTAAACTCTATTTTTGTATAATTATCCTTAGTACTTATTAAATATTAAAATTAAGAAAAATAAGTTAAAAAATCTGCTAAGTGAATAAAAGGGTTTTTCGATTTTAAAATATGAGAATTATTGTTCACAATAAATGTTGAAATTCTTAATGAATCCTGTGAATCATTAAATTAAATGATTGATGTAATTCTTATACTTTTATCGTATTATTTATTATATTTAATAACATCATAAATTGATTTATCTATAATTTCACAATTATAGAAATAATAGACGGAAGTTTGAAAAAACACACAACAATTTTTAAATAAATAGAATTATCAATTTTTCTTAGAAATTTTCCATGTTTTAGAGCATTTTGTATACACGTTTACAGTCTTACTATGATTTGCTAATTTTTGTTAAATTTAAAGGTACTTACAGAGGTTCAACTGAGTAATGCTGCGATGAATAGCGTCAATTAATTGCAATTTTTAAACATGGTAATCACAAAATTAAGCTGTCAAAAATCAGCCATATTTAATGTTAGATCTTTAATGGATTGGAAATCGTGTGTGATTAGAACTCTGAGTATTAGTATCTTAAGATTATATCTTAATATATACGTATACATTACAGTAAAATTAATATTTTGTGAAATTTTATTTTCAAATTCGAAGACCATAGTTTATTTATAAATGTATTAGACACTCGACATGTTATATAAACTTTTATTATACGAATTTTTATTATTTTCTGTCTGACATTGATAAGATGATGGTCAATAAAACTAACACTCAAAGGACTTTTTTGTACTAAGTGAAAAATTGATTTATCTAGTAAAACATAATTTAATGGTACGCTGTGCTTGTATTGAAATGCGTTATTTACATGACTTCAGTCCGAACCATCATTCAACAATTACATCATCTTATTTATTATTGCATTGTTAACATTTTCAGAAAAAAGAAACTAAATTACCAAACGTTATAATAACCTAATAAGCATACACAAATCTAAAAATTTTATTAAACCATCAATAATAATTCCAAATTGTTTTTATTCAATAGTCTAATTGTATCAATTCCAATACGTAAAACATGTCTGTTTTATGCAAACTTTATTTATTTATATCCATTTGTTTTAAGTACCTAGAGTAGTTCTAAACGTATTTTGTTTAATTAGTTTAAAACCTCTATTTAAAAAAAAGGGGTTTTTTATGCTTTAGATAAAAAATAAATTTATGTATTTTAAAACGGATATTTTATATTATAGGATTAAGAAATAGTTATAAACATTTTAACCAAAAAATTAAAATAACAAAATGTTCAGTACAGTCGAGATCAGGAATATTTTTAGATTAGTATTGATTGACATCTAACAATGATTAAAATCGCTGTTGTAAAACACTCCAATGCAATCAAGTTAAAAACAGTATAAAATATAAATATTATATAAAATGTTTTTACTTTTAACGTATTTTTTATCATTCCAGGCTTTTAGGAAACATTGACACTTCAAAATTCTTATAAATTAGCATTCATAGAAAAATCGTGTGAAATTAGTAGATATCTTTTAAAATATAATGTAAAATAAAAAAAATATTTCTATTAGTCTCATATTTTTCTGTAATTTATAATTTTTATAAAAATATTTAGCTCTATCTTCTCTTTTTGTCTCAAACTATTTAATTAAATCGAGTTATTTAAAAGACTAATAATTTATTTAACTGGGATATTTATTAAAAAATGATCTAGTTAAGAAAATGATTGCTGTTCTCAATTTTACTCCACTATTGCAAAATTTATAACTATTATAAAAATATAAACTAAGGGAGAAGCGTGAGTATGACAATTTTAGCTTCGATGCGAAGCTGAGAAGGTATTGGTTTTACTATGATGTTTTTTTTTTTTTTTTGTGTCTGTTGCCACTTTTTCTCAGCTCTCACTGTACCGATTTCTTTCAACAATACGTCAAAAGATCACAAATCGTATTTAGTTGAAGACATTACCCTTAAAAATTGAAAAAAATTCCCTCGTTCCCCGNCTAGTCGAAGACATTACCCTTCAAAATTGAAAAAATTTCCCTCGTTCCCCGTAAATGGGGGAAACCTCCAAAAAAATTACAAATTTAAAAATCGCTAATTTTCGAAATTTTTTCAATTTTTTTTACCAAAATGTGCCGTAACTTTTTCAAAAATGAACATATCAAAATCATTTTTTTTTTATAGATGCTTTATGTCTTTATCTATCATTTGATATATATTTTTGGAAAATCAAACACTTAACCTGCCCACAGGGGGGGATTTAAAATGACAACTTTTTTACAAAAAATTAACTTTTTCAACTTAACTTTTGAAAATGATCCGGAAGATCTGATATTTTTATATATATCTTAAATTAAAGCTAATGTAATGTACTTCATTATGAAAATAAAAATTTGACCTCTGGACTTGTCTTCACGGTGAAAATGGCTATCGAATGCTATTTTTGTGTGAAAATTTTCGATTTTATAATTTACATTTTTTACTTTAAAGTGCTTTAACTTTTTAAAAAATGTATGGATCAATACAATTTTTTCATGAAAAGTAGTATTCATATACATCTTTCATTGGACATACTTTTTTTTTAAATCAGACCATTTCCCTATATGTGGGGGGGGCTTAAAATATAAAAAATGCATATATAAAGTAGAACTTTTTCAACTTAACTTTTGAAAGTGTTCCGGAAGGTCTGACACTTTTATATATATCTTAAATTAAAGCTTATGTAATATACTTTAATTTGAAAAAAAAAAAATTGACCTCTTGACTTGTCTTCGTGGTGAAAGTTGACATCAAAGTTAATAAAAAATTACGATTTTTGTAAAATAATATTTTTTTATATTTTTAACTTAATAATGCTCTAACTTTTTCAAAAATGAACATATCAATATAATTTTTTTTTATATAGATGTTTGATGTTTTTACTTATCATTTGGTATATTTTTTTTGTAAATCTGACCCTTTATCTGCCCAAAGGGGGGAATTAAAAAGACAACTTTTTCACAAAAAATTAACTTTTTCAACTTAACTTTTGAAAATGTTCCGGAAGGTCTGACACTTTTATATATATCTTAAATTAATGCTAATGTAATATACTTTAATTTAAAAAAAAAAATTTTGACCTCTGGTCTTGTCTTCACGGCGAAAATCGCTACCGAATGCTATTTTCGTGTGAAAATTCTCGATTTTATTTTTTACATTTTTAACTTAATAATGCTATAACTTATTGAAAAGTGTATGGATCCACACAATTTTTTTCTGAGAAATAATATTTTTTAATAAACCCTTTTTCGTTTGACATACTTTATCTTAATCGAGATATTAATAAGGAACCAGCAGATCATGTAGCTTTTGGAATAAAACACCAATTTTTTTTAAATTTAACACTACCTAAAGATTTGCATCGAAGCGTTTATTTTTGATAGTGATTTTAATCACTGTCAGATATCATTATACTTGATCCAACTATACCACGACACCACTGTGCCGCGACCCCCCTGTGCTGGGTCTTTTTTTCATTAATCATTACTTTTCATAATTTTTATTTATGTTAGATAAAATAGATAAAAATATGATTGACTAATATAGTCTATGAGCTATAGAACTTTTTTTTTTTCTTAACAAAGTTAGATTTCTATAAGAAGTGATAAAAACTATGAGTATTCAAGATTTCTTATTTTATATTATTTCTATTGTATTATATTATTTTTCTATCATGTAACCATTAAGTTTTTAATGGTTAGTTAATTCGTATAAACAAGTAATTGATCTACATTTTACAGTATTATTAAACTTGTATAGCTAAGTTATTTGAACGCCATTCATAAGTCAAAAGCGTGGCCTGCAACCACAACAATATAATGATGTTTGTAGCTAAAGGCAACTTTTTAAGCACACAAAGGATTCACAGCAGTGTCGTTAACAAACGAAAAAGGTACACAAAGATCCTTTGAAGTTATCATAGGAACTATGGACTTTTAACCGCAATTTCTGTGCGAAAACATTTCTTGTGATTAATATCTTTCAACTATACTAATAAATAAGTTAATTAGTAAAACTGACTATATTAGTCCATAAAATATTTTAATTAAAAAAATATATAAACTACCAATAAAATAAATTTTGATTTTTATGAAATTAAAAATTATTAGTTTGGGATATATATAGATAACTTTTGATTCATCGAATATTTTGCGACAGTTTTTTTTTTTAATTTTCAAGAGAGCCATTTTTTAGCTGTTCTTACAAACAAATTTGATCACAGTGTAAGTACTTATTGAGTTACAAACATTATAATAATGTTGAGTGTATAACGCGAGTGAGTAAGTGTAGTTTGTATTGATGTATGTACACATCACATATACTACTTATCCACTCAATGTATTAAAATATTTTTAAGGGTTAAACGGTCACATAAAAATTGTATGCACAAAATTGTTTTGTGATTTTTTAAAATTATATTATTAAGCTAAAAATAGTGATTCATATAAGACAATCAAATCAAAGATTTTTTTTATCTTTGAAGAAATGGAAAAATTAATTATTTAACTACTATCATTTTATTGTTTTGCGAAACAAATAATTTTTCTCTTTACAAAAATTTAACATTCTCAATAGTTTCTAAAAATAAGTATTTTATTCTTAATAAATTATTCAGTATAATACTATTTGTTAATTAAAACGAATAGATATACGTTGATAGCTTATACAGAAAAAAAAAAGAGTTAAATTTTTGTCGTTTTCTTATTAAGTTTCGAAAACTTTTGTCATTAGCTATATTTTTTACATTAATCTTTTATGTTTTGTTATCATTTTATTGTAATCTAATGAATCAAATATTAAGGTTTGACAATTTTGATTTATAAAGATTTTAGTGGAAAATTAATACAATTAACTAGTTTTTGTAAAATTTACGTTTTAACTAATTTCTGCACTAATCATCGATGTATTAAAATATAATATATAATTTTTTTTCTATTATAATATTTGAACTAGAAACTCACCTTTTAAAGAATAAAAAATTTTTCAAGGAATACAAAATGATTTTATATGGACCAGAATGAGTGAGAGATTATCAAGAGAGTATTAATTGGATTCTTTGATTTAAACTAACCTAACTTGGAGTATAAAATTAAATTTATTTTAAGCATTTTAAATCAAATAGGGAAAATTGAAGAATTTCAATACAATTATTTTGAATGAAACCAATTTATATACTATAAAATCCTTATCAGTAATATATGAACGGTGAAACAAATACTGTATTGAAGCAATACATCATAACAAATAACTGAACTATTAATTATTCTAACAAATGATTACGAATTGTAGAAGGAATAAGAAAATAAACGATTCGGATTGCAATTCGAGGAATCCAAATCAAAATTTTCGGAATTCAGCCAAGAGTAATAGATAACAAAATAAGCCATAATACATTATAATGTGTAAATAATTCTCATAGAAACCATATTCAAAAAATGTATATATTTATATTCATACATCAAACTAATATTAAACAACACTAAACATAAGACAAACTTCAACTAAACAATGGCAGAGAAGAAGTTTGAATTATAAAATGATTATATTAAATACACAGAGTCAATTGAGTGGAAAATGAAAATCGAGGCACAGAAAAGGCGGTTAGTCGATAGTCGATTTAATCAAGTATATATTTAAAGTACAGATTTTTCTGTCAAAAAAGCATACGAGAAATATTTGAAATGAAATAACACGAGACAATTTGACATTAAACGTTTACGGCACTTTTCAGTAGTAATTTTTTTGAATTAAAACTTTTATTGTGTATGCTATAAATAAATAACATAAAAATGGTTATTTTGATTAATAGTGTTTGTATAAGTAAACGATAATAGCGTAACAAACTGTAGTACGACACCATACTGCACACGCGGTAATTAAGTCATGACTATGATTAGCTTGTTAAATAAAACATGTATAATCCCAATGAATAAACAAGTGGACATAGAAGCTAATATTCAAAATTTATATGAACTAAAAGGTGTTTCTTCCCTTAACACATAGAAAATACATAATTTACAATATCCTATTTGACATTTTTCTCTGTTAAATATTACTGAACTATTCGACTACAGTAAAGGCACTGTAGCGATGAGTACAATAATAAAAGCCTAAAACCTTTAAAATTATGTATCAACGTGTTTACTGTGATCGCAGCTGTGAGAAAGAGGGTCTTTATATAAGGATCAGGGTATATTATTCGATTGTAGAGATTCACAAAAGCAAACCTGCTACGCAGTATACATTTGTTCCATCATATGCTAAACATAAGGATAAACAACCTGTTGACTATTCCCTTGTTTATATATTTTAGAAAATATTTTTCCTTCAATGAATAACATCTTTCTGGAATAAAGGCGTTCTCGATTGAATTATTAAGACACGTGCAAACTGTGAAATTTTTATATCTTAGTCAAGTGTAATGTTCTTTTAAATTCACAAATCTAACCTTATCCCCTTTCATAGATCTCATCTCAAGTATTTTGCGAATTAGTTAAGATTTTATTTCGCCTAGGTCCACTACTCATATATTTACAAAATCAACAATGTTGCCATGTCGCCGTCCGTCGATCACCATATGCGGCGCCACGGGCGGCCGACGCTGTGATTTTTAAGACGGCGACGGCAGCTAGCAGCCTAACAGCAGTCGGCCAGCCGGCAGCATGGTGTACCGCATTTCCCAGAAATACCGCCAGACCACCAATCTTCCATTCCCCTCCCTCTAACACCATACAGTCCACATAAACAGTTGTCCGATTCATCCTCTCACTCTGTCACTCTTTTCATATCACTTAAAGATACATAAATGTATTTAATTATAAACAAATAGACATATTTATATATATGTCAGAGATAATTTTCCTTATGAACAGAGTTGTCCATGGTCATATACGCCATAAATCTAGAAATCGTAACAATAATTGTGGATATTTAAAATCCTAAATGTTAAACACTTAGCTATTTACAACAAGAAAAAAAATAGCACATATATTATCATTATGGTTATTGTTGTTATTTTTATTTTAACAGGTTACACGACAGTGATAAGAAATTACCTCGATGCAATGATGTTATCGTAAATCGCAGTCATGACGTTGGTTAATTTTTGTACTTGTTTGCTGATTTTCTATGTATATAAAAATATATACTCTGTGGAACGTGCAGATTATCGAATTTACAATATGCAAGTAAAATATGTCGACATAATATAGTATTTTTTATTTGAAACTATCACAATTTCTATTAATTTGTTGTATAGTTTAACAATTAATCTTGCTAGACTCGTAAAAATATATATGATTTTTAAATGAAAAATTTAATGTTGATTATGTAAGAAAAATACATAAAAAAAAAATAAATGCACAAATAAAATTTAAAATCCGATTTAGTTGAGAGATAAAAATAAGAATGTACAAAAAGTATAAAATAAAAATAAATAAATAAAAATGCCACAAGATAATTTTTTTAATTTAAAGAACGATATCGTTTTTTTGTGTTGATAAGTACACACATTTAATAGACGCACTTGTTCGGACGGTTAGATAATGTTATAGGAATGACGGATATTTTGGCGAGACGGACTACATACAGACAACACCGTGCGAACAAAACTGTTGATCGCCGCGGCTAGCAATACACTAAAAAACCACCTGTTGGCTGCTGCTCAAATATTTTGAGGAGTTGGTGGAGGTGGCAGTGGTATAGGCTATCGGTGCCCGTGGATTTGATTGTAGGGAAATGGAAGGAGGGGGTAACTGTGGCAGACGGTGGCCGCACCGTGAACTGAGTGGGGGGTTGTAAAAGTAGGTGTACGTCTCGTGAGTGCGCCCTCTGCCGCTTGCGTTATTATTTACAATACACAATATACATTATTGTACGAAGAATGACTGTACAATTTTCACTGTATACCGGTATTTCCCAGGGTTTCTTTCAGCCCCTTCCTCCCTAGGCATCCCACGATTCACCCCCCCCACATAAGTATTTGCACCCCCTTTAAATTCCCCCTCAGTCAAGGTAATCGTTGGCAGCGTTTCATCTGTTTAAAAGTTAATAACTGTAATTCGATTTTTTAATGTTCGCTATTCCTGATCCCTTCTGCAGCCAATACCACTGCATTTAAAATCAACTTAATCCTACACCTGCCACCATAACCAATTGACGTAAGATATCAAAATTTATTCTTAAATTGACAATACATGGAAAGCTCACTGAAAATCTAATGTAATTAGTTCTTAACGTTAATTAAAAATATTAATTTATGTGAAAGTTATATTTTTGAATCTGAAAAAATGAAAATTTTTTTTCGTATCTTAAGGAAATTATGAAAAAATTAAATTTATGATTTTTATATTATTAAAAGGGTATTTAAATTTTCTAATTACATACTATACTTTTATTTTTGTAAATTCTGATTGCCCTTAATACGCGTTACATAGAACCAAGTGTCTATTAAGTTATAATTGACATCTCCCCTAATAAATTAATGATTTTGAATATGATTCAAATAATAAATGGTAGATTTAGAGACATTATTACAATACCGATATTTATTAACCGGGGTAACATTAACGTGTTTTAAATGAAATATGTATGACCCATTTAATAGAGATTACTAGTTTTTAAAATTACCATAAATACCGCGTTTAAAAATATACATATATTGTACCGTAATGCACAGAAACTGCCTTACATAATTTTAAATGCAATTCCAATTTCCTATACTTTTATTTTTCGAGGAAATAATAAAGTTTAATAATACAAAATGTTTATTAAATGAAGCATAAGTTTATCTGTATATATACATAAAACATTGTGAAACATTGGTTTACAAAATAAAAATATATACCTGACAGTATTATGCAAATCTAATAAAAATGGAAGTAGCTTATACCACCACCAGTCTAAACAACCTAGTAAATTGTATTAGAGGTTATTGATTGTTGTACAAATCTATATTTGAATATATTTATAGATAGATCCTATAAATACAATATATAAAAGGTAATGATAAGCTTCAAAAATAATATAAAATAATGAATATAAATTTAATAAAGCCTTCTTTTAAAATATATTTTATAAAAAAACTAAGTGTCGTATATTTTATTATTGATTGTTGCACTTTTAAATATTATGTCTTAATAATAAAAAAAAAAAACATTAAATATGAGTATATTAGGCTTTTTATATACATATATTTATATTAAAATCATATGATTATTCGATGATGTATTTAGAGGAGAAAATTTCTAAATAAGCTCCTATGTGTATTCTATAATTTTGAGTATCAATACCTTAAACTAAACACGTTTTTAACTAATTTGTGTAGGTCACCAATCAATTATTTAATTATATATTTATAGTTTAGAGTCATTTTTAATTTTTAAATTCTTAATTTCTATTGAAACAATTTTATTACTTCTTAATTCCCATTATGCTGATGATATAAAATTCATTGTAAAATTAAAGGTTAATAACTTATTATCATTTTATGTAAATAATCACGGTATAATTTCTTTCCATATGACAAAATCATGGTGTACCAATTATAAAAACATGTTACTTACGCAAAAAAACTTTATATGGAATCAACCGGCAACTACGTAAACAATTTCTACATAATCACACGAAATTTTCGAAGAGAAGTTGAAAATTTTGATTGTGGTATATTCAACATTTTTTTTTAATATTAAATCTCCACCGAATGAGTAGAAATTGTTGAGTATTAATAGTTTTTAAAGCAAAAAAAAAAAAAAATAACAAAGTTACAAAGTTATTTAAGAATGTAAACATCTCAAAGAAAATTCTGGTTGCGTCATTGATATTGTACAGGGTAAATTTTTTGGTTTAAAGTAGACTTTTTCTTTAAGTACTATAGTTCGATAACTAGTACTAAACTAAATGAAAGAAAATCAATTTAACACAGAGTTTCCATAATTGATCAATTAATAGGTTTCTCACTCTCAAACCAGCAATTATATTTATTCCATATTTATATTCTTAAAATCGAAAAATATTGATTTTCATTGTATTCAAAAATTATTTATATAAGTACATATCAATTCTACAAAATTGTCTGGATTTTCTTAGAATTTATAAAGTTGATTTATAATGTTCATTTTTATATATAATGCCAGTATTATTTTTTTTTGTAAACATTTCCAGGACTCGCAGCACAAATATTAAAGTTATTTCCGCTTAATGTTTTCGTCCGCAGTAATGAATCTTTGTAGATGTGTGTAATAAACTCATCGCGCCGGGGATCCATCAACTAGCTTTCTCGAATTTCGTTTCCATGGTTACCTTTATTAATTACTTTATTTTGTAAATAATGATTATTTTTTAATAAAAAATGGTATGTACCGATTAAAGGCAAATTAATAAACTAATAGTTTTTGATCTCTTTATTGCTCAAACATTGTTACTGAATATAAAACATTACTCTTTATAATTTGAAATAGTTTGATATACGTGGTTAGTAATTTATTAGAAAAAATTGTTTATTATAAAATTGTATTTTTTATGTAATTAAAGAATTCTTGTGTCAATCAAAATTTTTAGAAAAATTAATGGAAAGGAGTTGAAAAATACTTGTAAAAGTATTTGAATAATTAGAAAAAAATAATGATTTTATGTGTTTTTTGTGCGTCCTATTAAAGTAATTATTATATGAATTGAGAATTAATTAGATAAAAAGTAAATATTTTTTACGCCATTCAGGACTCTTTCACAAAAAAAAAACACTTAATGTACCTAGTATCGTTTAAATTAACTAATTTTTAAATTTTATTTGAAATAAAAATAAAAATTAATTTCACGGAGAGTTTTTTTATTATAAAACCATTAATAATTTTTAAAAAATTTAATGAAATAAGAGAGGTGTTTTAAGCAATCTAAAACTTTATTCATAATTGTGAAATAATGGTTTCGTACTTAGATTAGTGTTTAGAATATGTTTACAAAAGATTTATAAGATAGACTTGATTTTTTTATGAGATGGTAATAATAAATTAAGAAGATTTCATTAAGATTGAAAGTAAAAAACCCAGCACAGTGGGGTCGTGGCATAGTTGGGTCCAGTATAGATGATATCTGACAGTGATTAAAATCACTATCATAAAAAACGCTTCGATGCAAATCTGTAGATAGTGTTAAATTAAAAAAAAAAAATTTGTTAAAATAGCATATTTTTGAATATGGTAGCCATTTGCGCATAGAAGATAGATCGTCGGGACAAATTTTTTTTTTCATTTTATAGCACATAAAATAAGCTTTAATTTGATATATGTTTAAAGGACGCAGTATTTCCGGAACATTTTCAAAAATTAAGTTGAAAAAGTTATTTTTTGTAAAAAAGTTGCTATTTTAAATCCCCCCTAATGAGCAGGTTAAGTGATAGATTTTCAAAAAAATGATATCAAATGAAAGATAAATATCTAAGGTTTTATTATAAAAAAAAATTATGTTGATTTGTTCATTTTTGAAAAAGTTACGGCAGATTTTAGTAAAAAAAATTGAAAAAATTTCGAAAATTAGCGATTTTTAAATTTGTAATTTTTTTGGAGGTTTCCCCCATTGACGGGGAACGGGGGAATTATTTTCAATTTTTAAGGGTAATGTCTTCAACTAGATACGATTTGTGATCTTTTGACGTATTGTTGAAAGAAATCGGTACAGTGAGAGCTGAGAAAAAGTGGCAACAGACATAAAAAAAAAAAAAAACACATCACAGTAAAATTAATACCTTCTCCGCTTCGCATCGAAGCTAAAAGTGTGGCTTAAAAAATATTGATAAATATTTTGGTACGTTGACAAATTAGTGATTTATACTTTAAACTTGTCATACAACTTATATTTTCTATGAAATAAATTATTTGAAAATATAAATTTTTATCATTAGAACATTTATGATGATGTTATATTAACCACTTTATCAAATAAAATGGGTTAATAGGAAAATTATTCGAGAATATTTTTCATAATTATTTTCTATTCCTTTGATAACCAATTGTATTCGATGTTAATTTTTAAGAGGGTAATACTCATACAAGGCATATACTTATATAAGTAACTTGTATGGGTAACTAAAACAGTATAACAGAATAATAATAGTATAAAATAATTCGAATAGTACCTGGAACGTATGGTTAAGTGAGGTCGGCTAGCTATACGAACAGCTAACAGAGAAATATAGCGTATGCTCGGTTAGTTATTATTAATAATGCAGCATAAAAGATACCTAAATCAATTAGGTATCCAATTGTCATATATCTGCGTTAATACCTAACGCTGCAAAAACCAGGATATAGAAAGTAGTTGGGCCTACTTACATTAGAAAGAGGGTTCACTATTTTTAAAATTATGGTGAGGAAGGCTGGTGGTATTATTAAGGGTGCATTAAAGTCAAAACACGGAGGGGAAAAATTAGTTTTTCATCCCCTTAATATAAAATATTTAAAGATTTTTTTTGCTCATCAATTAAATTTTTCTACTACATCACTTTTGCTTTCATATTTTAACAAACTATTATCTATATTTTAATTATGAAAAAATAACATTACCCCAACCAAATCAATTTATAGTGCTGTTGAAGTGTTATTGATGAAAAAATGTGTTATTATAATAAATGTATCATTTTATTTACTACCTCA